AAGAGTGTTTGTCCCAATGCACGCCGCAGTCGGCGACCGCATGTAGCATTGCTGAGAACAGAAGGCACTTGACATGCAACACTTGTAATTGTCAATTAAGCAATGTAACTGTGATTACATCGAGTATTGAAGGGAGAGAGAGAGAGAGGTTGGAGGAGCCCCAACGGACAGTGCTATGGTTTGGGGGAGGCTGCAATGGGAAGAAAACATCACTTTAAACAAGGACAGACTTTGTGCTCTCACGCTTGGAGTGGGACCGTCTACATTGCGGCTCACGAGTGTGGCATCTGGTACAAAGCAGTTTTGCACCTTCTTGCCCATTTACCAGCAAGGAGCGGTGGAGAGCTACATTCACTTCACCGCTCGGATAACATTAAGTGCCCACCGTTGCAGATTCTGATTTTTGCGTTACGTGGAGCCGGTTTTGAAGAATCACTTAAGAGGTTAACAATGGAGGCTAAGATGAACTCACGTCGTTTCGAATGAGGTATGCTTATTCTCACTTCTTCGCTGAAGTGGCTAACGTAATCACGCTTCATCGGTCCTCCCTTCCGAGTATAGGCGCTAACGGAGGCAGCGAGAGTTCGCCCTGGTTGCAAGTCTCTAAAGGTGTAGGATTTGGTCACATTGAGGTTGATGATTTCGTAAAATCCGCTGCCGAGTCGCCAAGCGATGAGGTAGCCGATAAGGCGACCATTGGGTTGCGATGGCCGTTTCCACGTCATTTTCACCGTGTGAGGGTCGACAACTCGCAGTCTCACATCCCGAGGAACGCTAACATCTACGCAAATGCATTCTACTTGTCATTTTTGTGACTCACAAGCTGAGCATACACACGTCCTCTCCCTCTCTACCATGTTCACTACTGTGGCAGGAACCACCACCCACACGCATGTTTCCATGTGTGTGAGGATGGGATGGAGGCGATGAAAGGTAGCTTACCTTTAGCCAGCCCCAGTCCTCCATACAACGTGGCAGCCGCCAATAACATAAGGCAGAGTTGGACCTCCATCAGACCACCAGCGACGAAGCAATGAGAATACGTGAACCACGTACATGTATCCTTAAATATGTTGCACCAACCTATTCTTGACCTCACCACTAAATTGAGCAGTC